ATTTGCAACTGCTTTTTATCACTTAATTAAATTGTGTCATCTATAGGGACTATAGGACTACTGAACAGACATTTACAAGTTGATTTTAAAATGCATAGTATTGAAAATAATAATACAACTCTGTAAACACTTTGCGTTTTTACAACACTAGTGTGTCCCATCAGGTAATGAAAAGTTGTACACACACACTTGTGGTCTTCATGCTCACTTGAACACTTGGGCCAAATACAGGAAATACGTCATAAGTAGTCAAGTGGTCAAGTGCAAAGACCGCAAGTGTGGGTATTTGGATGCATAAGGCATATGAATGCGATCCGGACTTCATCCGCTATGTTGACGTTTTCATGTGACCTATGACGTTAACAAGCGCAACAGCTTAAAAGATATGAGCGACAGGTTTAATGAATCTATCTGTAAATATTTTGATGTTGATGAAATTTGCTCATTTTGTGGTCTTGTTGAAGAAACAGCTGCCCTTTTATTGTGATTGTAGTATAACCAATGCATTTTGTGTTGATTTAAGTTTTTATATGTTTAACTCTACTAAAATGACCCACAGTTTAATATTATTTTTATTACGAAAACTTAAAATTGTTATCTCGTGAATGTTATTAATTTCTTTATTTTATGTGCAAAATTGTTCATCCACATTTCTCTCTCGTTTCATCCCTGAGGCTTATAAATAACAAAAACAAATTAAATTTTTTAATGCATTATGGTTATATGAATATTATGATTATTCAAAGATATTTAATCCTTTTTTCCCTGTGTATATAATCTCATACTATTATGTACGCAAAGCCATTATAGTTGTTTTCAGTTTTTTTTTTGTCATTATGATTGTTCGTTGTTAAAGATACTACCATTTTCCCCTGAAGTTCTGCAATAATAATAATAAAAAGAACATAAGAGCGACAGGTGCACAAACACCTCATAGCATCAGTAACATGACAACCCTACCTAGTACGTTTTCCTCTATGTTTGCAATATCTGCACAAAGGAGACGTCGATCAGCTGCTCAAAGATCTTGTCTTTGGAGAAGACTGTTGATTTTACACTCGAAAAATTTAAGTATTACTACTTAGAAATTAAGATTACCTCAGAAAGCATTGCTAGCCCACCCCAACACGTTTGAACAATAATAATTATAAATGCTGACCAATAATAGTTTTTTACTATTATTGTAATTACAATAATTGTAATTTGTTTTGTCATGTAGCTATGCATGACTTCACACAAGACAAATGCAGCCAAGGTGAATACATCTCAATTTTCAGTCAAGTAATGAATTAAAGGCACAATATGTACGATTTTTTTAATTAAAATATCCAAAAACCACTAGAACAGTGTTATATATTTTGCTGACTTGTGTACTTACATTACCCCAAATGTTTCAAAGAATGTTTAAATCCAGAGAAATAAGCAATTTTAACTAGTGACACGGACCGTGTCCATAGTGCCATTGTGTCGCCTGCCAATTACGTCATAACCCCTCGATTTCCGGTTTTGTTTTGTAGAAAACATGGAAACACCAAAGACGCTTTAATATGTTGTCTGTTATAATAGACGGGTGACGACCGCACAGAGTAGCATTATAACAGACCTTTCAAATGTATCTAGTATATAGATACATACGCATACGCACAACTGGAAGGAGCGGAAGCGGTGGACTGTGGCATAATAAAAGCTCCACTGCTTTCGGGCCGTATGTCGCGCTCGTTCAGCGGCCTCGTTTCGCTTCGACGGATTTCAGCCAGCTCATCCATGAACATGATTTCTGCCCGAGTCCCATCAGATTGCATCGGCTGTGGGGATGAACACTCAGTTACGGCGTCATCAAACTACGCCTTTGTCTATTTGTTTATTTTGAATATGCGCCCTCTAGCGGCGAAATTTACATATTGTGCCATTAATGCATACGTTAATGAAACAATTAAGCTATATTTTATTTACTGACAACAACAGGAAACATGAATAAATGAGTAAAAGAATAAAGAAATCATGACAATAATATAATAAATACAAGTCAACGACACATGAAACAAAGCTTTATTCAAGCATTGTTCTGACTAATGTATTTACAGGCAGTGAACCCACATCTACTGCCATCTCAACACAGCTGTGCCAATTCTGCAGCTTTATTCTGCTGAACCGTGCCCACCTTCACTAGTCTCTGCCGTCCATCACGACCTTCATTGCTGCAGTCAGACTGGAATCTGATCATGGATGGGAAAGGGACATCGAGGCTATCATTGCCTGAGTGCACAGAGAGGATGAGGAGAACATGTGTGGGACAATCTGACTGCTGCGGTGTCTGCTCCAAACATTTGTGTACTGCTCTCCATGAGCACCACTACCTGTAAAACATTTACACAGAGTAAAACGCTTTATATCTCATGTTGTCAGCATTCCATTTCTTGCTAAATTTAATTTGATATGTTTACAATTGCATGCTAATTTTTGATATAGCTTCATTACTTTTGTGGTGTAGTGAACTGGTCAGCAGAAGGTTGCTGGATCAATTTCCGCAGTCATCACCACCGCTGTCTTTACTCCAGGTTGCTGCAGGGGGACTGTAATAAGAGCACTGTAAGTCACTTCGAATACAAGTCTCTGCCAAATGAATAAATGTAAATGTGATTTTTGTAAATGCTTTTTTGTGTCTTGGGCACAAACGCTCAATAAAGCTGCTTCTTCAAGGTACTACTATAATATAAATGCTTACATATATTTCATACAATTTCTATTTGGGGCTTTAAAGGGTTAGTTCATCTAAACATAAATTCAGTCATTATTTACTCGCCTCCACACTGTTCAATCCTTGTGTGTGTTTTTGTTTTTTCTGAACATAAATGGTGATTTTGGTCAAGTTTGTCCTGCTGGTTTGTGTTCATACAATATCAGTCCATGGAGCCTGACTTTCAGAAGCTTCATGACTTTATTTGATGATGCTTTTGAAGCTTCTGAAACTCGGATTTCATTGACTGATGTTGTTTGAACAGAAACCAGCAGAACAAACTTGACCAAAATCACATCCTCAGTCTTTTGGTCTTTCTCTAGATGCTCTCGCTGGCTCTGGGCTCACTGAGGATGAAGAGACCACAGCAACATTCGGTCCTGATGAGGAAGTAAGAGGTGGAGCGATGGTGCGTCTCATTCATGGCACTGGATCATTTCTAGGATGCTGAAAATGATGCATCTTCACAGCTCACTCCAGTCTGCAGACATTTCAGATCCTGCAAAGATGCACAAACACGATACAAAAGCAGTCATTTTAACAGCACAATGTTATTTGATTTCTGTATTAGAAGAAACAAAATGATCTTACTTTATATTTTTGTTTCAGGTTTTCCCTTTTTTCCACAAATGCTGCTGTCACCTGCTCCACCACAAAAGCTCTGTATCAAATGCACATATATCAAGAATCAGAAAAGTGCTGTAATAACCGCTTAAAATTACAATAATTAAAATAAACTACAACTTAAGATTTAAAAGATGTTTTATTCATTACTATAGTGTACTCCCTCAAAGCATTCAGCATTGCTTCATCAGTCACTCTGCACCGGATAACACACGTGTGTCTCATCTGTCCCTGTAACACCCAGACAAGAGTCAAGTCACCTCTGTGATTTATCTGTTCAATACTGCATTTACATGTTGAGGTCGTTACTAATGTGTTAACTCACTTTTTACCCAACACAAATGTTCCTCAATTTATCAGTAGTACTAATAGACAAATGAAATAGATAACTTATGTTTAGTTACTCTATGTAGATTTGTTTATTTACATTACTTACATCCATCTAAAGCAGTGTTAACAACAGTGAATTCTACATAATAGTGCACATACATCACTCACTCAGATGTCTAGCTGTTTCATGTTGTGATGTGCTCATCTGCAATTCTTTTAGAACATTTTCCTGTCTCATATTAAATAGACATTTAATCGACTTTAAGATGTATAAGGTTTATGTAAATTCACTTTGGTGACGTATATGTGCTTACTGAGCTCCGCTGTTCGTTATACATAATAAATCGTGTTTTTACAGAAAAAAATCACAAATATACTGTAACGTTACTGTCTAGCGCAGGGATCCTCAAATCTGGCCCACGAGATCCACTTTCCTGCAGAGTTTAGCTCTAACCCTAATCAAACACATCTGGAGCATGCTAATCAGTGTCTTCAGGATCATTAGAAAATCACAGGTAGGTGAGTTTGATCAGGGTTGGAGCTGAACTCTGCAGCGCATTGGCCCTCCAGAGCAAGATTTGAGGAACCCTGGTCTAGCGTCTTACACCTTAAGCAAATCAAGTTTACTATACAGTAGCTCAACAAATATGATTTTAACACAAGGATCCGTGTTTTTGGTTTGTATTACTCGCATCTGTAAACACCCTCGTCGCTGTTCTCCTTCACGTTCGATGACAACGTATTGATCTCCCGTGGACTCCTGGGATTGAAAAGTGTCCAACACTTCAGATTCTGGGCTGATTATTTTTTATTTTATTTTTTATATAAAATAAAATATAGATAAATATAAATATGTATATATTAGTTGCTTATTAGTGCTCCACACTCCAGTCCAGTTGGTGGCGGTAAATGCACCAGAAGTTGGTTTGCCATCCGCCATAAAACGTTATTAGAAGAAGAAGAAGAAGAAGAAGATGATGATGATTCTGGGCTGAAGCAGTAGGACAATCGGGGGATTTCTCGCCTACTCTTTTATAATGTGATTTCGGACATACTAATCTGTTCACATACTCTTTTTCCCTACTATATAGTAGTTAAGTAGGCATATTAGAACGCAAATTAAGTATACGTACGTCCGAGTCTCGCGAGAATTAGTGCAATTCTCGCCTACTCTTTTATGAATACAGAGGATTAACATACTTATTTGCTTGCCTACTGCTTTTTGCCTACTATATAGTAGGGAAGTATGCCATTTCGGACGCAGCCAGTGGCTCTCCAGGACTGAAGTTGCCCAGCCCTGTACATGTTAAAACCGCTTGCCATAATCGTCTGACATATTAACACTTATGCGTGGCATGGCCTAATTTTCAACCACCCGCAAAACGCGCAAAGAAAACTTAGAACATCAAGCATATCGGAGCACGTGCGTGTTAAACGAGACCAATAAATTGTGTTTTCTGCTCATACGACTTACTGTGGTCGGCTACCTTGCAAAGCACGAGCGGTCTCTCTAAAATGGAGGAAGTTACGCCTTTGTTAGGACAAGGAAACAAATGGCGTGAGGGTTAAAAAGCAAATGCTCACTGTTGTGTCTTCCATGCGCCCAACACGCACCGCGTCAACTGTACTGTATGCACGACGCGTTTGGGACAAAGTTAAACTAGCGTTTGCTTGCACATTGTCCACATGGATTTGCGTAAGTGAGAGATGTACCTGGGAAACAGTGAATCGGGTTAAGTGGATGTATACTGGGGGGGTTGGGTGTGCTGTGCCGATTGGTCGCTCTCACCAGCACACACACACACACACACACACATACAGGCAGTCAGTCAGGGCTTGTTTTAACACAAACAATGTGGGCAAACAATCATGTATTTCAATAGAATTCGTGGCCGCTGAAAACGTGCTTAAGATGCATTGACGTGGTGCTTCGGGGAAAAGTGACAGTCGATCAGTTTCATTCTCGTTTATTTATTAATCTCCATTTTTGATGTTGGAGAGAGAAATGAGTGCAAATGGGCCTACTGGTACAAATGCTGCTGGGATTTTGCAGATCCGCTTTCACAAATTGACAAAAAGTAACGCTACATGCTCGAATTTGAAGGGCTTTCCGGCGGTTTTGTCGTGACCGAGTCGTAAATGGTAAGAAACCGGCGATTTCTCTCATGTACCTTTTGTATTTGGTGCGGTTTTCATTTCCCCGTCGTGGGTGACTTTACTGCTGTAGGGACTATGGGAACTGTTGATGCACATGATGATAATGTAACATACTTTGCCAGCGTTTTCACACTGAAATCGCGGCAGAGGTCATCTTTAAACAGGCCAGCAGGAGCATATCGAAGTGTCTTTGACATAGCAATTTATGTTGAGTTTTTCAAGCTTTATCTTTGTCTTGATGGATTCTTGACAAGACGGCCTACGAGGGTTGCGACTTAAACCCGAGTAGCCACTCTGTTACAAAAACCAGTTTAAGATGCTAGCTATGTTTTGAAACATGATAGCTGGTTTCTAGCCGATTTGAGATGGTTATTAGCTGGTCGACCAGCTTCCATGCTCCAAACAACGTTATGACCACATTAAGCTGGCATCTGGTTAGCTGGTCAAAGATGGTCTTCCAACTTGCACCAGTTAAAAACAAGCTGGCAGTTTAAGCTGTGTTTTCAGCAGGAATATATTGCATGTGCATGTTGGTGTTTTGCAGCATTACAGCGTTTTTGCTGTTAATGTGGAATCAGTGTGGTCTGCTGCTTAATTGTTTTGAATTAGATTGCAATGTTCAGCTTAATACACAACTCGTTAGTGTTTTGTGGCCAGTTGCAACAAACCCCTTAGGAGTTAAGAAAAGCCTGAGTCATAATTCTATTGGCCATCTTATAAAAACATCTTCTAAAAGTATTTCCCTGTGTTTTGTTGCAGGACGGAGCCATGACAACATGAATCAGTCCTACAAAGTGGCTGGCAGGGATGGCTTGGAGTGTCATGGCGATCCACAGGAGACCAAGGCACTTGATAGCCGCATCAGCTACTGTGGCTACCAAAGCACAAAGCGGCAGGGGGACCAGGGGTCTGCCATGCATTTCTTAAACTCTGGCTACAAACTCTCCACATCGCCGTTCGCGTACAATCTGAGAGAATCCACCTCCAACTACAGTCCATTGAGGAGACTTCAGGACCTGACCACTATGGTGAACCATGCCGACATGAGTTTGCAGGACAAGGACTTTCACAGGCGAAATAAACTGCTCATGCACAATCCCACTGGCGGAGGTGAGTTTGGAATAGGCCTTTATCACACGTCCAATTCGCAAGGAAACACTGACAGGACTACTATTCAGGATCTGGACAAAAATGGTTTCTCACCAGTAAGCTCTGATAGCTTGGAACATTTTCCATCCATCCCAAATGGAATTTTGCATTTCGAGTCGACCCTGTTTGATAGTGGGGACAGCAAGGATAATGAGGAGGAGGAGCATGATAGGGTTGATGTGGTGGCACCGTTTAAAGACACATCAAATAAATGCCAGAAACGAAATCTGGCAAACACAAAGGCTCCTAGCAGCCACAGGCTGGACCTAAGTAAAAACAAACATGGAAGTTTTAACCTTGTTTCTAAAAATACAGTGAAGTCTGACCCTCCTGGTAGTCCATCACATTTGCCTGTCGAGGTCATGATGGAGGATTTTGATAGTATGCATGATTATTCAGACAGTGACTGTGATCTTCCCAGCACTGAGAACAGTGCTTCAATATTCAACTCTGGTCTCTCTAAAAGACCAAATTCACCCAGTGACTCCCATTCAAATCCTGTAAGATGTTTTTATGTTCATCAGATTTATTGTTTCGTTGTCTTTGTTTCTTTTTCCTAACAGGTGTACAAGTTATATTGTTAGATTTTCCACCTAATAATGCACTATTGCCCAGGAAAGAAATCCATTATTTTTTATATATACAGTGGATATGTGTATGCACATATACAAATACATATAAACTTCATATATGTATGTGTTTGTATTCATGCACACATACAGTGGGGTCCAAAGGTTCAAAATCACACTGACAATCTGTAATTCAAACCTTGAATAAACTATTTTAATTAAAAAAAAGTTATGACCTTTTGTTAAAATTCTGAACAATTTCTAAGTCACTAATCTGGTAAACAAATTTGTGACATTGATCATGTGAAGTCATATGTGTTTGTTTCCATTGACGCACAAGGTGCTCTTTGGGACTTTTCAAATCATGCTGGATATCATAATGATCAGGATTTACTCAAATATGTGGAGCAGCTCAAGTGCTTCTCTGATTAAAGCAACAAAGTTGTTTTGTATTGGGAATCAGAAATGCAATCAGAAAAATGCTAAATATAAGCATTTTCACTAGCAGTCTGAGATTTTTGGATCCCACTGTGTGTATTATTTAAGTGTGCATTTTTTTTTTCTCACAAGAATTAAGAAATATCTGAAAATCAAATGTGCATTGTAACAAAGATCTTGGTAAAAAAAAATTTCTTTCACTTCAAGTAGAATCACTTCTGTCAGTTGACTAAAGTATCTGACTGATGCAGGTAATTCCAAAATGAAATGTTAGTCTATCACTATAAAATACTATTTGTTTCATTTGATAAACGTGCATTTTATATAACATAAGGGTAACAAGTAGCACATTATTTATATCAACATAGTAATTGCATGGTACCTTAGCAATTAAAAGTATATTCTTTCTTTTTTCTCATCTTAATATGCAGAAACTCAACTCATTCATAGGCTGATTTGGCTAAACACTGGCACTATCAAAACATTGCTTTGCCACAACAACATTGGCTTAACCAGTATTTATATATATATATATATAATTTTTATTTTTTTTAACAGGAGCACACAGGGGAGTGTTTGGCTTACTTGTTTGAAAACTCATTATTTTTGCAATTCAGTATGACGACGTTTATGGTGTAGAAATTACACACTTCCACTTCAACAACATATTTGCTACTGTTTATTTACAGTTGGTATTGCCCAGTTTTTAAATTACAAGTTGTCATAGATGGAAGTCATTTGTATCACCCTCCCTCAAGCTGAACACCTCTTGAACCACACAGTTGAGTAGGAGCTTCATTTTTTCTAGTGGAGCAGAGGTGTATGCTAAGTGCTTGTTGTTCATACTTATTTTTGTGAAACTTATCTGACCACGATCTTTGTCACAGGAAGGACAAAGGCTGTAGTATGGACTAGATAAATATTTCATTCACTCGTGGGTTGCAGTTAGGTTAGGGCTGCACAATTAATCGAATTTCTAATCGTGATAACAATTACGGATGCCACAATTGCGTAATCATTCAAAGTGGCAATTAATCTTTCAAAGTCCACTTATGTTATTCTGCATGCTTTATTATAATAACATTATAAAAACATGCATATTTTTGCTTTTTTTTTTTTTTTAAAGAAGAAACCAATCCAATGTATAGTTGACATTTGAGGCTTAATACTAAAGAAAAGCAATACATTTTTTTAGGTTGGAGTGTTTTCAGGTTGTTTATTTTCATCTAAAAATATGGCATGCAGTTGCTTCAATCAATGGTATTAACATCATTCAATGCGAATTGTGATAATTGTAAATAATATTGAATAATTACAATTTCAAGGGAATAATCGACAATTATGATTTTATTTTATTTTTTTAACTCGTGCAGCCCTAAGTTAGATTGTCACCCGCAAACCGCTCTTTGCAAGGTGAGAGTATCTGAAATGTTAAAAGAGTAGCCTAAACAAACAACTCAAGCTGTCTTGACTCATGTTAATGATGTTTAATGAATGTTGATTAAATTTACAACTTTTTATTTTAACCTAAAGTCCAACAGCCCAAAGAAGAAGCAGCTCCCAGGTATAAAGTACTCTGTAGAAGATGTCGTGTGGGCCAAATTCAACCGCAGACCTTGGTGGCCCTGTCATGTAACCACTGAACCACAGATTGAAGTCCACACCAAAATGAAAGGTGATATTTTTTTGTTTTGATCACCTTTTGTATGACTTCATAGTGGATGCCTAATTTCACGTGGGTGAGATGACATTCTATTTACATAATATGGTTATCGATTTAGATTTTTTTTTATGCACTTGTTCAACTTTTACTTAGAATTTAGAGTGTCTGCAGACCGTCTTTGTCCTAAAAGCAATAGAAGTTCTTACACATGTATGTTGCAAGACAGACGACACACAGTGTAGATATTTTTTTTTTGCTGTGTTCAAGAAAGTAAACGCTCATGTTCTAATTTAGCACATAAGATATTTAGCATTATTAATATTATCATGGAAACCAAAACATCTTATAAGTTAAAACCATTCTTAGAACTCATTGTTGTCATATTATCACAGAATAATGGCATTTTCTTGCAGACCCCAGTCGTCGGCCATGCCGTCTCTATTTTGTCAGGATGTTCGGGGAGATCATAGACCAAGCTTGGGTCCCGGCAAAAGCCACTTTTCCTTTTGAAGGAGGTCATCAGTTTGAAAAACTGCCTGTACTTAGACGGAGAGGAAGACAGAAGGACAAAGATTACAAATACACGGTAAAGCTTTTGTGTGTTGCAAACTTGTAACTTTTTGCTGTTATTTTTTGAAAAAATGAATGTTTATGATCAAATGAAATGAATGCTTTTGATAGAAAGTTAATGAGTTTTGTTCATTCTACAGGTTCCTAAGCGTCTAATGCCTTCATGGAAAGCTAGTGTCTTGGAGGCAGAGGCAGCACTGACCAAGCCGTTAAATAGCGAACCTCCTTTGACTGTAAGTCAGGATGTGCACATGCCTATTACAGAAGACAAGGCACCAAAAAGTCCTGCTTGCCCGACATCTACTACACAGTTCACATCATCAAGCTCACTTTTGTCCAATGGACTAGATGCATCCATTAAAAATAAAGGAAAACCTGGCACTGGAAGCAAAAAGAAGGCAACTAAGAAGAACAGCTCAACTGTAAAATCTCCTGTGAAACTAACTGAAAACTCTTTATCATCTAAACCATCATCAAACCCTTCATCAGACAGCTACAAACCTTCCACAGCCGCTGAACGGCACAAACCAGACCCCCTAGATAGTCCATATTCAGATATTGACTCTGTCCCGAGGATTCTTTGCCCCAAACGTTCAGTGGAATTGCTGCAGGAGGCGGTGGCGAAAGAATTGAGCACTAAACCTAAGAAAGTACAGCCAAGTAAAAAGATGAAAAAAGCCAACGTGGACAAGCCGGTGAAGAAAACAGAGGCTGGTTCAAAATGCACAACAAACAGTAAGCTAAAGAAGTCAATGCCCAAAGAAAAAACACTTAGGGCTACGAACTCCAGACAGAAGGAAAGCAGTTCCCCGGGGTCCTCAGATGGGTCTTTTGCCATGCACTCTCATTATTTTCCTGCCAGCAATGGCTTAATCTCAAGAGCACTTGCCGCCAGGAGAAAGACCAAGGAGAAAGATTTAAGTCAGGAGCCAGAATCTCGTTCACCATGTGCTGGTGATGAAAACTTTTTTTACAACAAGTGCTCATCCCCCAGATGATCTTGTATCACCTTCAACACTGTTATCGCCATCCTGTGAAGGCCCATCACTAAACAGAGAGTCATGTAAGAAGAAATCTGGTAAGAATGTGTAGTTTAAGACGCTTAACTTCACTTGTAAATGTCAGCTGTAGGTATAAACATATTTTATATTGCTGTTGCAGCACCCTCAGATAGAAAGAGACCACGTAAGACTGTGCATAAAATTCTAGACTGCACCGTTGAGGGGGATTCTGTAAAGATCCCAAAAAAAGAGGTTAGTGTTAAATTTGTGGTGTCGATATGATTTCTGAAAAATTATTAAATGTTTTGGGTTCCATCTAATGCTTCTGTATTTGTTTTTACCCTTGTTGTTGTTTTTTTTTACCTCTGTTAAATCAGGAGAGTAAACAAGATATCAGCCCAGATGAATCAGATGTCAAAGATATTCAGGTAATGTTTTGGGGTATGCTTTATGTGGAATGTATTTTTTAGTAATGTGTGTATATAGTAATTTTAATAAATTGGTAATACTTTATAATAAGTATACAGTAACTTAAAATAATTAGCAAACTATTAGTTTATAGTTAATTTCATAGTTTATAAACTGTATTCTGTACATTAATACATTAATAGGCTATGTACAAATAGTGCGTTTTTCATTTATTGTCATGGTTAAATTATCGCTTAATTAGCTCATATGTAAAGAGTTAGATAATGTTTTATCCTTTAACAACTTGTTAACAATACCTAACTCATGTACAGTATTTAAATCCGCAGTAAAGGAGTTGTTAATGGCTTATTAGAAGTAAATAGTTCTTTCTTTAGATTAGGTCACAGAAAATACTAAAATAAAGGCAATAACCTACCTTTATTAGACATTAGCTGCATTAATAGTGAGCATTCCTAAAATGTTTACAAATACAAAAAAGAAGCATAAATGTCTATCAGTTCTGTTTACAATAAAGCATTATTTTACATTTCTTTACTATTAATGTTTTTATGAACATCAAATAACATACAGTGTATATATATATATATATATATATACAGGGTTTCCGCGGGTCCTTAAAATGTCTTAAATAACGTTTTCCTATTATAAGGCCTTAAAAAGTCTTAAAATGTCTTAAATTCGGATTCGATGGGTCTTAATTATTTTTGGTCTCATTACCGCTAAAATATCTTCAGTCTGACGGAGCTAATGACTTTATAATCACTGGACAGACCCGCGGTAAGTTACTGCGTCTTCAGAGAGAACACAGAATACAAGCTCGTGCTGAGGCTCACTCTGTTTGTCTCGAGACTTCAGAACTGATGAGCGTGACCACACACATAAACTCAAAAGAAACACACTGAGGTAAAAATTCTAAATGTTTAGTTTATTCATAACATGATGTAGTTAAATAACACCATGACAAGTGAGCTATTTTACTCAATATTCTCACGACGCAAAAAAACATTCAAGACACCTTCAGAGTGCATGCATTACGTGAAGTCTAGTGCGCTCTTTCACTGCATGATTCAGTCTATTAAAATACATTCAGAATGATCACAAATTCAAGACATGGGGGCAGAAAATGTGTATATTTATACCACTTCATATAGTTAATCAAGTTCACACGGAAGAGTGCCTTTTTTT